ACAGGCCCACCCTGATCTCTGCTTGGCCTGGTCTGCTCTTGTTTCCCAGGGACTCAGATCCTTCAGGAGGACCGTTCTGTGAGAGACGGCCCAGTCCAGGGGGAGTCCGGATGACAGAATGCTAATAATTGAACAGGGAGACCATTTTCAGGTGATATCAGGTATTTGCTCATTCGCCAGGTGACTAGAAAAATTCAAGAGCGAAGTTTGTTGGGCCAACCTGGGATGAAAGCTGGGGATCCTGTCATAGTGAGATGCACACAACGCTCAGGATACCTCACAGTTTGGGGATTCTTCTGGGGTTCGTCTCCTAGGTCACAGAGCTTGTAGGACCCTCCTGAGGCCCTAGACTAATGTGACTGACTATGCCGGTGTGTACATAGACCACATGTATTATTTCACTCTTTTAATGGCCTCGTGAGCTGTGTGGTGCTGTTGGAGAAATATTACAATTTTCTCATCTACCTATGAGAAACTTTTGACTCTGAACTCAGGACCCTGAGTCAGGGGCTGAGTAGCCCCTCTTCAGCTTTTCAGTGGCTTTTGTGACTCCTAAGGTGGGACATGGAATTCTAAGGTATGACTTGAACCATACCACGGGGAGGATGCTTGGCAGACCCAGAAAAGAAAACTGACCAAGTTTGCCTCCTGTGAAAATGCCAACAAGACTGATGGCCAGAAGTTTGTGGATGAGACACAGTTTCTCCTTTGTCTCAGGACTGTCCTTTGTGACAGTCCTTGTGACAGTCCTTCCTTGGACTTGGATATCTGAAGTCTTTTCTGAAAATTACCTTTTGGAGGCTGCTTCTCCATCCCTGTTAAGCCTTGCTTCCATCGACCTCTAGTGACTATTGTTGGTATTACTTCCTGCTCCAGCTGGACTATAGAATAAGCAGGCAATGTCTTTTCTAATGGCTGCCTGGTTGGGAGCTTTCTCATTCCATCATATTGGAATTAGCCATAATTCCAAACTAACTCTGACCATTGTTCTCAAATACAATCCTGGCTAGAGTTAGCATCTGGGCTTTCATGACCTGAGCTGTAATTATCAACTCAGTCTAACCATCCATCCACTCATCCATGTAAGAATTAAATTACATGAGGGCTGTGAAAGACATCCTATGAGAACATTCTCAGTATATTACTACTGATCTACAGAGTCTGATCCAGTAGTCTATGGCCCCAGAATCCGTTGTTTGTTTGCTTGCTTTTGAAACAGAATCTCACTCTGGAACTTACTGTGTAGCACAGGCTGCTTTGAATTCAGGACTACTCACTGCCTCTGAGTCCAAGTGTTGACATCCAAACATTTGACCTCTTTCTTGGGCTTCTTTGGCAGTGAGGGAGTGTTGGTCCCAGCATACAAGTGTTTTCTAAAGTGGTTATGCAGATTTTACAATAGATTTATTGGCTTATTAATAATACACATTGACTCTTACCTTGTGCCTTATTATGCTGGGATCCCGGAGCTAGGACAGGTGGAACTCCACTGTGATAGACTCTGCACTGAAATGAATTAAAAGGATTTGCAGAGGATTGGAATAATGTGTGCCTTCCTGTGACCTTACAGTTTATTTCAGATGACAGGCACTTCAGTGGCCAGATATAATACAGGGCACTGTGAGAAAATGGCTTTCACAGAACTGTAAATAAAAGTCTTGTCTGGCAAAGACATCAGTGTGAAAAACAGAAGTTAAACGTATGTTGCTTACTCCGCTTCCTAGATATTTACTGTTGGAAGAGGGGTTGATGGAAGACGATGGGGGCATTTGGGAGGCCAGTGACAGTCATCAGCCTGGCAATGTATGAAACCTATTTCTGGCTTTATGGATTTGCACAAATAGTATGTAGAATACCAAAGGAATTACATATTCTCGCCTCATAGTTGTGTCGTTTCTGCAGATTCTAGGCAAATAACAGCTGCAGTCATTGGATGCTTTCTGTTTTGAATATTACCTTTTACCAATGCTAACTTAGTCTTCATAGCATCTATATAATATTAGCAGTAAGTAACAAGACCAGAGCTATTTGGCGGATAACTAGTGGGTCCAAACTCCATCACACTGGCTTTTGCACTCTGGAGTCTAGATCATGCATGCTTCTATACCATTTCTTGAGTTTTCAGTTAAACAGACTGCTGCGAGTTTGGGGATGTGCCCAGCTGAACACTTGCCTGGCACACCCGAGCCCAGGTTTGATCCCCAGTACTATCTAAAGGTAGGTGTGGTGACATATGCCTATAATGCCAGCATTCAAGAGGACTGTAAGATCAAGATTGTCCTTAGCTACAAGTTGAGTTTAAGGCCAGGATAGGGCTCCAGGGGACCCTGTTTTAATTTTTTCCCCCTTAAGATTGAGTCTCCCTATGTAGATCTGGCTGTCCTGTAACTCTCTCTGTAGACCAGGCTGGCCTCGAACTCACAGAGATCTGCCACATCTGCCTCTACCTCTCAAGTGCTGGGATTAAAGCTGTGTGCCACGACCACCCAGTTGAAAAACTTTGTTCTTGAATTAAAAACTAAGTAGTAAGTTTTAGAGGTGTATACTAAGTACTCAGGGCTGAAATTATTTAAGTCTAAAATTAGTATTTAAAATTCAGCAAGTCTTCAGATGAAAAGATGCTAGTAAAATCTTGGTAAATGTAAAGGTGATTTTGTGACATGTGTGTGGTCACTGTAGTCTTACCTGATTTCCATAATGTAAAAGCAAAAACTATAGCTAATGAATTTGAAGACTTTGAAATATTATCTTACTGTTCATATACAAAGACTTTATCTGGCTTATGCAGATAACAGTAATGAGGTTCAGTAAGTTATTACTGCAGTTGTAGCTATGATAAGAGAGCTTATTTCTGTATGCAAATAGCCTCTGTCCACCTATTCCTCAAATGTGATTCATGCCCCAAGTCTTTCCTTCACCCCTTAAAATCAATACAATGAATTATAAGGAGTCAAGAGACCGCTCCTTCCAAATGCTCATTTTTACAAACATGGAAATTAAGTCGGAGAGAATCTGATTAATGTGGTTAATGTGGATCTTTTGAAGGTATCTTGTCCCCAACTATGGAGAGGTCCAGGATGAGCAAGAGTTAAAAACCTGAGCTTTCTGGGCTGCATGATCTAGGAGCCCTCAGAAGGAGTTTGTGTGGGTTAAAGGCTACAGCTCCTGGCCTCCTGCCTCCCAGGAACTCTTGACCTAAGCCTCCCCATGTGGCAGGCATCACCCTAGACATCTGTGACGTGAGATGAAGAAAAGATGAAGGAATTAGGATTTTTACCCTGACTTTTGAATACAAATAGACCCATTTATTTGGTGTTTGCAGAACTTAGCGATGTCATCTACAAAGGACATCGTAAGAAAGCTGTTCACTCTTGCACTCTGTGGTGCTGATCTCCATCTGTGCATGCCTTAATGATAGGAGGTGAAGGGGAGGCCCTCTCACCTGTAAGAAGTGGGTTTCTAGGGCCTGAGGAGCTCAGTTGGGGGGGGGAGTGCTTGCTTGGGCTCAGTCACCAGCACTGCATAAGCTGGGCGTGTGGCTATGCCTGTAATCCCTTCCTCCCTCCCAGTCTGGGCTATATAATGAACTCAAGGCCATCCTTGACAACATGAGATAATATTGTTTTGTTTTGTTTTTGGAGACAGGGTTTTTCTGTGTAGCCCTAGCCGTCCTGGAACTTACTCTGTAGACCAGGCTAGTCTTGATCCGCCTGTCCCTGGCTCCCAAATGCTGGGATTAAAGGCTTGCACCACCACTGCCCTAGATAGTATCTCAGCTGGGTGTGGTGGTACAGGCCTCTAATGCCATCATTTTGGAACAGAGACAGGCAGATCCTTTGAATTCGAGGCCAGCCTGGTCTATAGAGTGAGTTGTAGGACAGTCAAGGCTCTGCAGAGAAACCCTGCCTCAAAAAACCCAAAGCCAAAAATGAAAACAACAACAAAACCAAAATGAGTCTTCAAGAAGCCAACTCCTCTGATGGCCTACTATTGTCATGTGATAGAACACATGTCCCCTGGACATTTGGAGCCAGTGCCTGTCTGTCTGACTTAGGTTTGAAGGATGCTTGATGGTTTTAGAGAATATGTCTAAAGGCTGCATACCACTGCTTGATTAACCACTACTCTAATCTCCTCATCCAACAACTCCTGAGGGGCAATCTCAGGAGCTGAAATCTTACCTTTCCTACTCTGTTGCCATTCATTTAAATAGTCTGGGGGTGTCTTTGGGTCTTTTAGCAGGTAAGGTAAATTTAAAAGGCTGGCCAATTAAGACTGGTATCTCCTGTGAAGCTGGAGTCTCATTCCCATTCAAAGACTTTGTGATCCCAGGGCAGGTCAGCTACTAATTAGTTACATCTGATGAAGAGGGCAGAGGATGCCGGGAGTGCTGGGGACCATATTTGGCTCCAGTGCCTCTATAGAATCTCAGCCTCTGGGCCTGGAGAGATGGCTCAGAGGTTAAGAGCACTGGCTGCTCTTCCAGAGGTCCAAAGTTCAATTCCCAGCAACCACTTCGTGACTCCTAACCATCTACAATGAGATCTGGTGCCCTCTTCTGGCCTGCAGACAGAACACTGTATATATAATAAACAAATCTTTCTTTAAAAAAAAAAAGAAGAAGAAGAAGGATCTCGGCCTCCTCATTCTAATTCTCCCTGGCTCTGACAGCTTTATGATATGATCTGAAAGAATTTATCTCCAGAGCCCTGGAGCTAATGTCCTGTCTGTTATCTCTCTGACATGTTGCAAAGTGTCTGCCAGACCATTTAAGTTAACTGACTCTTTAGCTCCGGTGTCCCTGAGCTGTACATTGAATGGGTTTGCACTTTCTTCTTGTAATGAAATGCCTTGCCTTAACTGTGACTCTACCCTGTCCCGCTCTCTTGATTTGGCAAGTGTGTGCGCGCAAGCCAGTTTTTTTTTTTCCCTCTTTCTAAAAAAGCAGTGCTTGCTGAGCAGATGAGCTTAGAAAGGGTGTTCTCTTCATGTTGTTTCAGGGAAAATAGAGAAAGTCAAACCTCCTCCATCCCCCACAACTGAAGGTCTCAGCTTGCAGCCTGACTTAGCCCCTGAAGAGGCTGCCGGAACCCAGCGGCCCAAGAACCTGATGCAGACCCTCATGGAAGACTATGAGACACACAAATCTAAAAGGCGGGAGAGAATGGATGATAGTAGTGTAAGTTTTTCCTCCTTTCCTTTCTCTTTTCTGAGGGTGACCATCCGTGTGGCATGCTTGTGTCTTCGTCCAGAGCTGGATGTGAGTGCATTTGTCTGGTTTTCTTGCATCATTGGATCTGAAACCTATTTTCAAATGAGTGGTTTAACGTGCCTTGTTTGTATCTCAAAAATATCTATCATCAAGAGCTGGTTGTTTGGTGTCTAAGTCAGGCTTGAGGTAATAGGCAAGGCTGGTACACGAGATGGTGGGTACGGAGGAAGACAATGTGTCTGGGCGACACAGTAAAAAGGAGCGCACACCCTCGGGAAGGGAGCACTCCCCTCCCCCGGGTAGGGAGCACCCCCAGGCTTCAAAATCTGGGTTGTGATCAATCCTGTGTATGTTGCACACTGCTCAAGACACTGATTATGTCTGGAGCTCTTTGTGTGCGTAGTTGGACAAGGAAGAGGCTCCTCTGCCTTTGACCCTCCCAGGGATGTACACGATGGTCGTGTGCACTCTGAAGGAAGTTATCTGCTCTGTGGTTTCCTTGTCTAGTAAGGGACTTAAGAGGTGTTCTGAATGGTCCCCACAAGCCTGGGGGTAGCCCCAGGTTTCATGCAAGCACCCTAGAGTCTCTGGTATCAGTCTTTTATCTTTCACCAAAGTAAACCCATCCATCCCCCCCCCCTTACAGTGAGGTCACAAGTAGCTTGGATTGATAAACCACCTAGTTTCTGCCTGTTGTTCCTGTGTGTTTATGAATAGCATCCCCTTTCAGTCTTCAGAGCGGCATAGTTTGGGTAAATTATGCGGTCATCCTCAACTTGAATGCTCTGTGGTTCACAGTAGGAAGTCCCTGCCAACCCAATGCCTTTCATGTCCTGGCTGGATAATCCCAAGTTCAAAAGTTTCTGGGATGGATGCCAGATGCTGAAGGCTCCTTTCCAATTATAGTGATAAAGAAAAGATGAAAACACACACATCCCTCTTCTTAATCATGGAGAAACTCTCACTTAGCTACCCTATGAGGCCAAGGGCCTTCTCTGTGGATGGCGCCCTGTCCTGGGTAGCTGGTGGGTTTCACGCCAGCCGCAGCTTACTATCAGCTAGGTCATGTTAGCAACCACAATTGGGTGCAGAGTCCCTCTAGGTGTTTTTAGTTGCAATCTAAAGTACAGTCTTAGAAGCATACAGCTTCTTTCCCCCCACCCATGACTCAATAGTATACATCGACAGCTTTGCTGGATGCTAGCCCAAGAGTCATGGGCCATTCAGCCATGGCCTACACAAATGCTTTCTAAGTGCATTCTATGTTTCTTGTGTATGCTTTTGCACTGGAGTGCGGGTATCAAGTGAGGAAAGCACATTCCCAGGCCTCTGATCTCAGCCACTGGGAAGCTGAAGTAGGAGGATAACATGGTCAAGGTCTGCGTGGGACATAGTGGAAAGGGAGACTCATGTTATAGTCAGAAAACTAGACCTCTACTTCAGGCACATTCTGACACTCAAGCACCCACCTAAGGAACACCAAGCAGGCCCAGTTTTCTCTTGGAATGAATGAAGCTGTCTGGAGTAAGCATTCTTCTAAGTGCTAATGGCCTCCTGTCTCTATTTTATCCAAGCAAACAAAAATGTTGGCTAAGAAAGAAACCTGCTAGTAAATCAATTTATTTTTATTATTAGTTGAAGGCTGGCTGTTTTGAACTTTCCTGGCATTCCAATAGAACAAAAGCTGTCAATTGTTAAAGAGTTTTAGGGATAGGGCAAAATCCAATCCCATATACCCCCACCTGTCCTCTTCTAATAGAGACCCAAATCTCAAAAAACCATTGCTTCTTGAGAGATTATATGGGCATCAGCCAGAACTGATTTCCAAACCACCCACTAGCCTGTCTCCCAGGCCTTCTAGTGTAGGGTGCCTTTCTACACCTCTGTGTAGAGAAAAATAAGTTTCATTTTCCCCCAGTGATCCCTAACCCCATCTCCCATTTTTTTTTCTTTTCTCTTATACCGTAATGATAATAACGAGGGGGTGGGTTGCTTCATGGTGGTTATGTAGCTGGTTCCCCTGTCCCTAGATGCCAAAGGTGATTCTGTTGAGGGTGGAGCAATTCTACCCTCCTAGCCTGTTCACACACGTTGTTCTTAGGGTGACATGTGGCCTCTTGGATTTTCTGCCCTCTAAAAGCCTCCTATGGCTTATGCTGGCACCTTCAGTTGTCAACTGGCATCACACTTGATGGAATTTTTGTATGCTCTTTTGAAGACTTAAAGCCACCCCTGAAACCATATCAGAGCAAAGATGATCTTGAAACCCTATCCGCAGCTTAGGGCCTGCTCCTTCAGTTTCCTCACTTTATGAGAATCAGTGGTGGAGGATTTATCTTAGTTGATAGAGTGCTTACCTAGCCTGATAGAACCCTGCCCCAGCACTGCATAAAGCTGGGCGTGGTGGCATATGCTTGCAATCCCAGTGCTCAGGAAGCAGGAACAAAATCAAATGTTCAGGGTTATCTTCTGTTACCTGGGGAGTTTGAGAATAACTTGGGCTAGAGACCCTGACTTAAAATATAAATTAAAAAAAAAAAAAGTCATATACATGATAGGTTGATCGGCTCTGGGCTGGTAGAATCCTTGCCAGGAATGGGACATGGGAAAGCCACACCTGCCATTGGTGGACTTTATCATGTTTCTGAACTGTCATCTCCTGCTAGAAACAAAGGGCTTGCTTTAGGGCTCAGTTGATGGCAGGTAGAAATTGAAACTCTGAACCCTTTGGGAATATCTATCTGAGAGGCCCCATATGAGTGACAGGAAGTTATCATCGGTGTGGATGACCTCATTTAAAAACAACAACAGCAACAACAACAAACTCAGTGACAAGGAAAAGAACAAAAACTTACTTTTTAAGGGTTCCCACACTTACAACTTGAGCAAACTGCTTCCTGCTTCCTCTAGTAGTCTTCGCCCATCTGGACCAGCTACCTTCTTCTGTGTTATCTCTAGTGAGCATCTCCAGGAACTAAAAGACCATCTTATTTTCTAGGTGCCCACACTAATCCTAAATAGTCATCCCAAGTGATTATCCAAGGACCAACCCAAGCTTGGAATCTTATCCAGACCCATAGGTTCTGATAAGGAGGCTGTGGTCTCCTTCATTAGAGAGTGCCATCCTTAGGGCTGTGTTAGAGAACCTACCGCCTCAAACCTGGTCCTCCCTCTCTCTTCCTCCATTTACTCCTTTTCCTTTCATGTCCTCCTCCCTTTGTTCTATTATTGAGGTCTTACTGCAATGACACAGTAGGGTTCAAGACTGTTTAAGGTTCAGAGAAGCCCACAGGGAAAGAAAAAAGGCTATTTGGTTACAGAAGCCATGAAATCCTGAATGGCCATCAAAGTCCTTGCTGGTGAGCAGCTGGTTAGACAATAGGGGAGAAGAAATCTTGTTAATTCAGGCTGTAGAAAATGAAACATCATCTTGAATTAACAGAGCCTGGCTTATCTGATATTTTTATTAATTAGTAATAGAGTATCTACTTGCCTCAAGAGATACAGACTTTTAAATAAACAAATATCAGATGAAGCAATACTTGGAGAGGTTGTATGCTGGTCACCTCCTCCCTCCCAGCCTCTTTACCTCCTACTCACTTCTGGCATGGTGCCAGTGCCCAGCTGCTGGGGGAGGGGAAGTCTGTGAATGTGTCTCCGCCATGTACTAACCCTGGTCTTTTCCCTCTCTACCAGTACACCTCTAAGTTACTGTCTTGCAAGGTGACTTCCGAGGTACTTTTCAACTTGTCTGTCTGTGTCCTGATGCATGCTTGATCAAGGTGCATGCTGTCTTGGTTTGCTGTCTCCTGTGTTCAATAAGAATGGCAAGAAAAATGCCTTCTCTCCATGTAGCTTTTCTGCCTGGCCTTTCTGAATTGGGGAGCTGATTCCAATGTTGTAGTCCATAGTGAAGACTGCTGTGCTGTGCTGTGCTGTGCTGTGCTGTGCTGTGCTGTGCTGTGCTGTGCTGTGCTGTGCTGTGCTGTGCTGTGCTGTGCTGGCAGTGGGTTTGGAGAAGACCTTGGTCACCTATGGATCTGGAAGACTTTGAACTAGAGGGCAAATATTGGAAGCCTGTGTGGATTCTTTTAGTTTCTTCAGGCACAAGTAACAAATACAGTATGCACTGGTTAGCAAACAGTGCCTCCTACAGGCCAAGCTTGTGATTCTGGCTAGTCCTTTGTTAACCTTAATACCATTCCCAGATAGCTCTGCTCTATGGATTCAGTTAGGCAAATCATTCCAGTCCTTCCCTCCTCTCTCCAATTTTGGGGCCTGTATTTTTGTTTTGGAAGCTCAGCTAGGCAGTGATCTTTCCTCAAACCTCCTCCTTCCCCACACAATTTCCTTTTCTACAGATGCAAATATATGTGCTGTGAGGTGCAACACTAGCTGGGCTCGATGGAGCAGCAGTTAAGAATGCTTGCTGTTCCTGCAGAGGAGCAGCGGGAGTCTGCTTCCAGCACCCACAAACACCTGTAACGTCAGCTCCAGGAATCTGATGCCTTTTTCCTTTTTCTCACCTCTGCAGGCACCTGATGAATGTGAACACACCACACACACACCACACACACACACACACACACGCAAACATGCACACTTAAAAATTTTAAAAACAAGCCAGGCAGTGGTGGCCCATTCATTTAATCCCAGCATTCGAGAAACAAGGCAGGTAGATCTCTGTGAATTCCAGGCTAGCCTGGTCTACATAGAGAATTTCCAGGCAGGCAAGGTTACACAGAGAAACCCTGTCTCTCCCCTACACCAAATTAATTTTTTTAAATGCTGTATACATACATGCATGCATGAATACATACACACATATGCTTGGGATTGAATCCAAGGCTTGACACAGGTCAGGCAAGCACTCTCTATGTAGTTCTAGTGTTATTTTTATTTCTTTTTTTTTTTAAGTTTTTTTTTCAATATCTTTTTTTTTTTTTTTGGTAAGAAAGTATGGCACTTTATATTTTCCTTTCTCTAGTATTGAATTTGTATTTCAAATGAATTATTTTAAACGTACAGAACTGTAGAGAGATCATCCATCCACACAGTTCATAATTTATGGAGAGTCAACTATGCATCAGGCACTGTAGCAGAGCCCAAGAAGGCAGCAGGCCACGTGCTCCTGAAACCATGGAGCCAGCCTGTAGTTTCCCTTGTCTTAGGAAGACAAAATGTACCTCTCTCGCTGTCCCATTCCGATAATTTTGTAGTATTGCTAGACGGTTTTCAAAGAATTTAATGTAGCAAATGCAATTAAAGCCCTCTTGTTACCTCTCCCAGCTCCCATGTTTCTGTTTCTGTCACTCTTTATCTCCTCTGAGGGGTCACATTAATGCAGTGATGTTTTTTTTTCTTTTTGTTGTTGTTGTTTTTTGGGACAGGGTTTCTCTGTGTAGTCTTGGCTGTCCTGGTCTTGCTTTGTAGACCAGGCTGGCCTCAAACTCACAGCGACGCTCCTACTTATGCCTCCTAGAGTGCTGTGCCATTATGCCCAGCTGCAATGATGTTCATTTTTGTGCACGTTATATATATATATATACACACACATATATATATGGAAAACCTTAGGGTTTTTTTTTTTTTTTTGCATGTTTTAAACTTTCTATAAATACAGTCACAATGTGGTATCCTCTTCTTATTCATTGTTTTTATCTATTTATTTTTAAATATTTTTTATTTTCTGTGTGTGATGTTTGGATTGCATGTATGTGCACCATGTGCGTGGAGGACAGAAGAGGACATTGGCCTAGAACTGGAGTTACAGATGGTAATGAGCTGCTCTGTGGGTATTTGGATTCGAACCTGGATCCTCTATAAAAGCAGCCAGTTCTCTGAACCACCGACCCATCTCTCCAGTTCCTCTTCTACTGTTTTCAGATGTGTCCCTGCTCAGCTATGGTTCTAGTATATTCATTCGACTGCTAAGCAGTAGTCTGTTGAATGAATAAATCCTTCTTATTCGCTTTCCTGTAATCGGAAATGTAGATTAAATTGTTTCTGGTGAACTTTTTGGGGGTTTTGTTTTTTTCTTTGTTTTATGATGCTGGGGATTGAACCCAGGTCCTCTTGCATGGCAGGCAAGTACTAATGAACACTACCACACATTTTCTATGGAGCAGTTTTTCTACCTTGGGCATACTTGATCATTTACAACAGCTCTTGCAAGTTGTTCTCCAAGTTGGTTGTGTCACCTCTAGCATCATTTGTATTTTGAACATGAGCCCCATTAGCAAAATAACTATACTTTAAAGCTGTAGGTTTAATCTTGTTGGCTGCTGATGTTCATAAGATTTAAAGTGAATGTTGAGAATATCATGGTATGTCTGACTTTCTAAAGCCTTTTCTGGGCTCAAAGCGCACGTCTCTGGGGCTCTAGTCATAGTTTACTTTCAATTACAAGTACTATGAGCCAGGACTGTTCACATTTACTCACTAGGAGACTGACACATGGGAGGTTAGGCTCCTATGCCTAACCTCTGACTCTGGCTCTCATTTAGGAAGTAGTTCTTGGAGAATCAGGCCCCACTCACATCTCCTCATTGAGTCAGTATGGTTTAGAACAGAGAAACTCTGGACAAGAATATGCAAGGAGGATCAAATTGGGTCCAGTCAATCTCCAGTGAAGGAAAAGCAGGAGGCTCACGTTAGCATGACTATTAAAGGAGTCACCCGCAATTTAGCCCGTTCGTCCTTTGCGTCACAGCCCACATTTGACTGCCACTTTAAAGTCGAACATCTGGCTTGAGATCCCCAAGAATCAGAAGGACAATAGGTTGTAGAGACTGTTTGAAGAGAATTGATAGTTTTTCTTTCACCAGACCTCAAGTTTGAGTTAGTTTGTGAAAACTAGTTGCATACGAGGCTTACTGCTGCTCACGGTGTCCCCCAGCTGTCCAGTAGCCCTGTGGCTTGATGGCCTCAAGCATTGGCTCCACATCTGGAGAGCTGAGTTTAAATCTTGGCTTTTCCTGCTACTGACTGAGAAATTCTGGGCAAGTTACTTAACCTTCCATGCAGTTGTCTCCTGGTGAGTAACTGTGAGCCGTGATGGCATGAATGTTCCCAGAACAGTCCTGGCTCACAGTACTTGTGATTGAAAGTAAACTATGACTAGAGCCCCAGAGACATGTGCTTCCAGCCTGGAAAAGGCTTTAGAAAGTAATGTGCAAGAGCAGAAGTATTAGGAGATCAGAGCTTACTAATGATTTAGGCACACACCCTCACCCACATCTGAATTAACTGTAGAACAAGAAGGGCTCATTCAAACCTTCCCTGAGGGCTTGCCTTTCGATCTTCCCAAGCCTGTTGCAGGATTCCCAAGCTGCCCAAAGACAGCTGAGGTTCCTAGCCTTTCCAATACTGGCTCACTCGTTTTCTCATCTGTCTTAACTGGGGGATTTAGGTTTCATCAGAAATCTAGGATTATGTGAAAAGGACATCCAAATGAGAGAGAATGAGTTATTTGAGCTCTTGATCAATAGATGTTTAAACCCAAGCTATGCTAAATGTTTTTACAATTATAAATATAATTTTCCTGCCTGCTGCACTTTTCATGACTGAATTCTATGAGGAAAGAAACTGTTATACCCCCACATGGAACACTGTGTTTGTGATGTGTTGAAAACCCAGTCAATACTGGTAAGATGAAAAGATAGATGAATTTTACCATGGGTTTCTGAAGACTAGAGAAAGAAAATTTGACTGAGATTTATTGATCATTAAAATGAGACCTAAAGCCAGATGGGGGTATCCACATGTCATTAATCTTAGTATTCTGGGGGTAGAGGTAGATGGATTGTGAGTTTTTGGATAACCTGGGCTACATGACAGGAACAAAACTTGTTTCGAAGAAAAAAGAAAAGAGGGCACTGGAGAGATGGCTCAATGGTTACGATCACTGGCTGCTCTTACCGAGGACCTGGCTTCCGTTCCCAGCAGCCACAATGGTCGGTCTGTAAGTCTAGTCCCAGGGCCATCTAATATCCTCCTCTAGGCTCTGCGGGAATGCAAGCGGTGCAGAAACACTCATGCAGGCAAAACACTCACACACATAAAAATAAGTGACCTTTTAAAGACAGAGAAAAGGGGCAGTAAAAAAGTTTAATAGCAAGACAAAACTATTATTATTATTATTATTATTATTATTATTATTATTATTTTTTTTAAAGACACCCTTTTAGAACCTTGGCTCTATTTTTACACTCTCGAGAATTACTCAGTTTATGTCTATAGGCAAACTTGAGCAATTTACACAACACAGAGTTCCAAAATCCGTCCAAAATCCGTGTTTGTATTCCCCTTCAGCATCTGTAACTCTTTCAGATGATGGCAAGAATTCTTAGAGGACAGCCTTGCACCTTGTCCCTCTATGCTGTGGCTTCTATTATGCCCATTTGACATGGGGATACTGAGGCACTGGAGTTTGTGACGTATGCAGGGTCACACTGTCACAATGATGTCAAACCTAGTTCTCCTTGAGCTAGCTTCAGAGGCCATACTGCCTCCTGAGAAAGTCATGGTGTTAGGACAAGTGCGGTAAGATAAACAAGAGACAAAACTGGAGCGTAGGTAGGGCTCAGGCATTATAATCCATGCAGTTTTATCACTCACTCCCCTGCTACCATATATTGGCCAAAAAACTGTCTAGCTCCCAGGCCTGGCAGCATGCTTTCCTGGATAGTATTTGGCCATGGTGTACACGCTATGCACAGCGCTAGTCGTGACATGGCTGTGGTTCTCAACAATGCATCATTCATACAGAAAAGGTGACTGCATCCCACCTGTCATGTCCATCTGTCCCATGTAGGGAGATGTGGGGAAGACTTCCCAGATGGAAGCATACAGAAGCTCTGGGTAGTTTTTGCATTTGACACAAACCAGAGCAGCATACTGGGATGGACTTCAGTCCCATAGTCTAACCCAGCCTTTGCTTCCACTTGGCATCTTCCTACCTCCCTGGAATTGGCAACATCACTGGCCCTTGCCTCAATCGATCATTATTAAGAGAAGCATAGTGTCCACTGCGGTTCAGAAAAACCAACCAGGACTTTTCTTTGAAGTCAGAAACTGCATCCTAAGTGGACAGCAGAGTGCCTGGTGGCATGCATGAGCTTGCTTTTGTTGCAGTGTCCTGACCGGGAGCCATCCCTGTGTCTTGGCCACTTACGTGCCTTTCATCTGGATTTCATTCTATCCAAGCTAAAACGGGAACAGGTAGCCTGACATCTTCTCCCAGGAGCCCACAAATGGTACTAATGAGGAGCGGGGAGGGAGGTCCCACCTTCACAGGGGTGAGCCTGCTTGTCCTTGATGTTGTCACCCTCAGTTTCTTTTACGTGACCTTGATGCACATATGAGAACGCTGAAGACTTTTTACTGGCTTGAAAGTTACCCCAGTCCCTCACTTCGAGGCCATCTGTGTTTCATTCTGCCATAGTAGATTCATGTGACCTTAATATTTTCCTAGTGTTGTGTGGGTCTGCAGACTTGCTGCATTATCAAATCCACAGTGGCCCATAGTTAAACATTCCTTCCCCACCTTTGGTCATGAGGCAGCTAAGAGAGCTGATAGTTGTGCTGTTCAAAAATGGTAGTTGCTAGCCCCAGGGGACTACTTAAATTTAAATTGTAATGTACTAAAATGTTTCATTTTTCAGTTGTTTGGCTGTATGTACATCAGAGGCCTACTGGCCACATGTGGATGGTGGCACCACTGTGGATGGCACAGATGAACAGTTTCAGTATGTCATAAAGGTCTGTGCTCAACAGGACCAGGAGGCTGATAGAGAGAGCTCCTGTAGAATATTCAGCTCCGGGATACAGGTAGAACTCAGCTGTAGAGTGTTTGTCTAGCATGCTCAATGCTCCAGGTTCGGGTTCCAGCATCACAAACCAAAACCAGAAAAACGTGGGGCAGTCAACTCTAGTTTAAAGAAGCTTGTAAATATGTGACTAATAATAATAATAATAATAATAATAATAATAATAATAATAATAATA